CAAAGAGACTTCTAAAGCAGCCGAGCGAGAGGCCTCGAGGAGACATCTGGCGCTGAAGAAAGAATTCTCCAAGGCACAAAGGCTCAGGTCCAGTGGGACTGAAGTTGTTTCCCCCGTCTCATTGGACACTCCCACGTTTGAGCCACCTTTTGCCTCTTCACAGGATGCCCTGCGGGCATGGTCTCCACAGGGAGCTCCAACGGAGGTTGGGGGCCAGTTCTAGGGAACAGGGAGAGATGTGGTCCCAAAGCCAAGTCCAGGCATTCATACATTATGCTTTTAAGCAATTTATGTCCTCCTCTGGGAGTAGTCAAGTGCCTTCACATCTCCCTCCTCCCCCACCTATTCCTCCTTCCCAGGTGGAACACGACACGAGACCCGGTTCTGGTGTCTCTGAGACCTCCTCCAATTAGACGAGGAGGGTTCAATAGACCTGGAAATAGCTGACACATCCTTGTCTGAGGATGAGGAGGCAGCACCTGAGCAGGTGACTACTTCGGGTCTCTTTGACCCTTCTCTTTTCAGGTATCTTCTCTTAAAGGCCAGCTCCACGGCCAACCTGACTTTGGCTCAGGAGGACAAACCATCCACCTCCACTAGCCAGGAGTCCAACCCCTTATTTGCAGAGAAGGTCATAGAGGAGAAACAAATTCCCTGTCCGCTCGTTTTTCCAGACTATGGTAGAGAAACAGTGGTCATCCCTGGCCACACTCCTTCTCCAAGCAGTATGGAAAAGAAACTCTATAATGTTTCTTCTTCCTTTGCCTCTCTCTTAGAGGTGCCGACCGTGGACACCCCTTTAACCTCTCTGTTCTCCACCACTGTTATCCCAAGGGACATGGCTGAGTTCCTGAAAGTGGAGGACAAAAAATTCAAGTTCTCCCTTCGCAGAGCTCACCAGTCTTCGGCATGGGCGATCAAGGCGGCAACCTCATCCTCTTTCTTTGCAAGATCATCAATAATGTGGGTCAAGGATCTTCAGGCGCTCATTCTGCTGGACCAGGTCAGGGCATACCAGACACTGGGGAAGCTAGTGGCAGCCTCAGAGTACATTGCTGATGCATCTCTTCATTCGGCCAGGTGCTCGGCCAGATCTATTGCTGCCACAGTTGCCTCTCGTAGGATGCTGTGGTTGAAACAGTGGCGAACTGACTTAAAGTCAAAGTAGCGCCTGTCAACCTCCAAATATACTGGAACACACTTATTCGGTGCAGTCCTAGAACAACATGTAATTGAGGGCAAGGACAAGCGTAAGGTCCTGGCGCACCCCCTCTAAAAAATCAGATAGGCGGCCTCAACAGGAATACCGCAGACAGCCATTCCGTCCCAGTGGACCCTGGGAGTGGAGGCAGCCCTTTCGGGCAGGGCAGTCCTGGGATTGGCCCAGAGGCTCATGATCCTATCCCCCCAGGCAGGATCGTCAACAGGACCGCCAGAATAGTGGAGCCAGGGGTCAATCCCAAGCCAAACGTCCCTTCAGGGATTCGGGCAGTCATCCTTACAGGTGCTCCAAGTGACGCCAAGGAGGACTACCCCATACGGGGTCACCTGGCACTGTTTTACGACATCTGGGAGGGCACAACCACCGACGCTTGGGTCAGAGAAACCATAAGACAGGGTCTTTCTCTAGAGTTTCAATCTTCTCCCCCAGATCGTTTCAAGTGCCCGGTTTCAAGAAATATGACAAAAGCACAATTAGTCACCACAGCCATCGACCACTTACTAGACATCAGGGCCATAGAACTGGTACCTCAGGATCAGATAGGAGAGGGGTTCTACTCCATCCTATTCGTAGTTCCCAAAGCCTCAGGAGGATGGAGGGCGATACTAAACTTAAAGGGTCTAAATTATTTCTTAACCTACAGAAGGTTCAAGATGCAGACCCTAAAGTCCATCTTGGCCAGCATCAGGAAGGGGGACTTCCTTTTCTCCATTGACCTGACAGAGGCTTATCTTCACATCCCGATTCTCCCAGAGCACCGCAGGTTCCTGCGGTTCTGTTATGCGCAATGGCATTGCCAGTACAAGGCCCTCCCCTTTGGCCTCTCTTCAGCCCCGAGGGTCTTCACAAAAATTTTGGCCATACTGGCAGCCCATCTAAGGATGATGCCTGTGTGCGTACAGTGTTATCTGGACGACATACTAGTGCAGTCCAGATCCTTCCAGTCAGCTCAGTCAGATTTGGAAGTCACGATTCAGACACTTCAGGATCACGGGTTCTCCGTGAACTTCAAAAAAAGTCACACAACAAAGATGGTCTCTTGCATGGGCATCGTTCCGTGGGTCAGGCTTCACTCCAGGAACCTTCAGTGGTTCCTTCTTCCCTTCCAGAAATGGAATATCAGTGCGTCCAACAAGAAAGTCAGGATTCCCCATCACACGCTGTCATCACTCCTATGGTGGGCCTCGTCCGCCATGACCAAGGGCTCCATTTTCAAGGAGCCTCCCAGGATCACCTTGACCACAGACGCCAGTCTGTTAGGTTGGGGGGCCCATCTTCAGAACCACCTGGCCCAGGGTCAGTGGTCCAGATCAGCAGCCTCCAACCTCCTGGCTCACAACATAAATTGGCTCGAGCTCAGGGCCATCCACCTAGCTCTTCAACAGTTCTCCTCCTTTGTATCAGGGAAACACGTATTGATCCTGACAGACAACATTGCAGCCAAGGCTCACGTCAACAAGCAGGGAGGGACCCGCTCCTGGTCACTCATGCAGGAAGCCATGACCATAGGGCTTTGGGCAGAGTCTACTCTGAGCTCCATCAGAGTGGAACACATTTCAGGGGAGGCAAATCAAAAGGCAGACTCCCTGAGCAGAGCCACAGTGGACCACTCGGAGTGGAGGCTGGACCCGAACCTGTTCAGGGAAATATACAGTTTTGGCCATCCATGTCTAGATCTCTTCGCCTCCCCGGGGAATGCACAGCTCCCCAGATTCTTCACCAGGTTCCCAGCAAGGAGGGAATGGATGCCCTCCGGTGCAGGTGGCTGGAGGGCGTGCTTTATGCCTTCCCTCCCCTCCCATTGCTGCAAGCGACAATACGCAAGCTGATTCAAGAGCAGGCGGAGATAATCTTAATTGCTTCATACTGGCCAAGGCGTCCGTGGTTTGCCGACCTTGTGGATCTGTTGCTCTCACCACCGTGGAGGATTCCCCTGGACCAAGTGGCCCTCAGCCAGGGGAATCTCCAACATCCGGATCCACAGTGGCTTCAATTAGCCGCCTGGCACTTGAGCGGGAAAGTCTGACTAGGCAATCTTATTCCTCCAGGGTGATCTCGATGATCCAAGCCGCCAGGCGCCCCTCAACTAATAAGATTTATGATGCCACATGGAGAAACTTCTGCTCGTGGTGCAACAGGCAGCGACTCTCGCTGCTCTCTGTAACCATTCCGGACATATTGGAGTATTTACTGGAAGGGTTAAATAAGGGTTTGTCACCCAGTACCATACGTAGGCGGCATTATCAACGGTTCTCACCTGTGACAACCTAGTTCCCTTGTCGCAACACCCAGCAGTCAGTGCTTTTCTCAAGGGCGCGGCTAATGCTAGGCCATCTACGGTACATCGTTACCCGTCTTGGGATTTGTCCAAGGTGTTGCAGGTCTTAATTTCTCATCCATTTGAACCTCTTAGCACTTGCTCCCTTCAATTTCTTACCTTGAAGGTGGTCTTCCTAGTGGCCATCATGTCAGCCAGGAGGATTTCAGAATTGGCCACTCTATCGGTCAGAGATGACCTATGTACCTTCCATGAGGATAGGGTGGTCCTCAGGTTGGATCCCTCCTTTATTCCAAAGGTTAATACAAGGTTCCATAGGTCCCAGGACTTGGTCCTCTCTAATTTCTGCCCTAATCCCTCACATCGTTTGGAAAGACAGTAGCATAAGTTAGACGTGCACAGGACCCTGCGCCATTACATTAAGAGAACCTCAACCTTTCGAAAGTCGGAGGCTTTGTTCGTGTCCTTTCAACCCTCTGCAATGGGTCGGAAAGTTTCTTCTTCCACTATTGGCAGATGGATTAGGGTTTGCATTTCTAGGGCTTACCTTTCTCAGTCTCTTCCAGTTCCTTCAAACATCACAGCTCACTCAATGCATAGTGCAGCGGCTTCAGTGGCCTGGTCTACCCAGGTTTCAATTGAGGAGATTTGTAGGGCAGCGACGTGGTCCTCTCCCTCTTCCTTCATTAAACATTATAGGATTGATCAGTTTGCAGCGGTGGAGGCTGCTTTTGGTAGGCGACTCCTACAGCAAATGGTTACTTCTCAGGGGACACAGGCCTAGACTTCCCCTCCCTATAGGGACATGAGCGGCTTTGGTATGTCCCATCGGTGGATTCTACATCCATTCTGCTGGAGAAGGGGCATTGTCTTACCTGAATGCCTTTTCTCAGCAGGATGGTGTAGAATCCACACACACCCTGTTCAGGTAGTCTAGGCATATGTATTTACTTTTTATTTGGAGCCTTGCGCCAAGACTTCATCAGGGATACTTCGCCTCGACAAAAACTGGGAAGACACACCCAGAGGGAGTCGTGGCTAAAGCTTTGTCTTAGTCTCACTGAGCAGGAAGGCTGAAATTACCCATCGGTGGATTCTACACCATCCTGCTGAGAAAAGGCGTTCAGGTAAGACAACGCCCCCTTTCAGATTTCTTTACACAATTGAAAAGACTATATACCATGAAACATTGTTTGTAAGTTTCATGGTATATAGGGTTATGTATGCATACATATTTAGAAATGTCATAGATTATCTTTTGAACGATTCAGTTATAGATTCAAACTTATTTACAGTCGCACTACCCTACTGAGAGAAACGTTTGTATTGATGCAAAGACAGTATATGAAGAGGGGAAATGTTAAAGAAAAAAGACATGAAAACATATAGAACCATTTCCTTGTTATACTGAAATTTTTTTTTTAGAAAATATTTAAAATATTTGAGATCTCTCAAAAGTTAATCTCTTATTTTCCAGCTATATCATTTACTTTTTAAATGATATAGAATATGTTACTAGATTTCTCGACTGAGAAGATAATACCTGAGGAATCCAACTCAAGCATCTTATTCCAGAAGAGGTGGCTTGTATTATGTATGCATGTATAATTATGAATACTTTGCTTGTGTAAGTTTCTTACTGGAATATATGTTCCTATTTTTATATTTCATTAATACTGACAATTACAAATAAACTAATGAAGTTTGTTCTTCAGAAGTTCTTGCTATACTACATGGATTTATAATTTACATTTTAACAACTGCATCCTGGCAATGGAATATAATATAAGCAGTAAAAGAAATTAGTGTTCAAAGAGTACAGTAGGAAAATGGGAGAAGCTTATTGTTCTAAAGGAATGTTCTAATACTCACTACCATTAAATAGCTAAAGAAAAAACAAGACGAACATTTATCCAGTAAATCCAAATCAACAGAATTTTTAAGAAAATTATTTCAATAGGAATACAGTATCCTATTGAAAGAGGAGGCCAAAGCATCTAATGCATGAAAAATCTGATTAACAAATAAATATTAAGTAAAAATAATCTCCCAGTCTGCTACATCATAACTACACACTTGACAAAAAGATACACAAAAATAGACTTACCACCCAATATTTCCCTATTCTCTTAGGCAATTTTATTGACAGGTGTTAAGACTGAAACCAGAAAAAAAGCTAATTTCACCACCCAAGCACACAGAAAGACCTATACATTTTCATTACAGTGAAGAGGGAAAAAAAGCTTGAATTCATATGCATAAGCAAAACTCCAGAACCTCTCCACTGAAACATCACTACCTTCAGCAAACAATACCTAAATAGATATTAGGTTTTGTAATTTTAATAATTATAAATTAAATGTCTTCTAAATTAAAGTCAGCTAGCACAGAAATTGGGAAAAGGTTGCCTATCCAGTTTCAGTTATGGTTTTCCCAATTCACCTCTCATTTAGCATTCTAGGCTACATTAAACTGGGAAAAATAAATTCAGTTAGATCACAACAGTGTCCTCACCAGGAGGGATATTAAAAAGAAAGCACTAAATATACTAGCAGCATTGAAGTTCTGGTCCTGATATGTAACGATAATATAAGCTTAGGGAAGCTGAGCTTATGTACAAATTAGCCCTAGATTTCAGGTACAAAGAGTTCAGGTTACTCAAGCTTAAAAGAATGTTTGAACTACTACTCTCATTTATCAGAGGAATGTCTTTTCCAAAGGACCTTGTTAATAATCAAACATTTCCTGTCACTAGCACTGATACTGCTTTTACAAGAGTTTATTTCCATATATTAAAGGAATGATGTAGACCGAAATGTCATCTCCTGAGCCCAGTCGGTCATTGGATATCCTCCAGCCTCTGTCCTTCAGCACTCCCCTAGCTCGCATTACCAAATCCTGAGCTGCTAGTGTGTACCTGTGGGCAAAGAAGAAAAAGCCAATATTGAAAACTGCTGTTAAAAAGGATCTTTATTGTTTGATAGATGGACCATATTAATCACCATAAATATGCTTTATCAACATTCAGATTTAGCTACCTCATTCATAGTCTTCAGACAGTACCAAATGTTCTGAATATTTTGAAAAAAATCTATAAACTCAATAGATAAGAACATAGTTTGCACACAATTTCCAGTGTGGAAGGAAAAAGTGTTCCAATCTAAACCCTGCAAAGCTATTACCCTTAGAATCTTGGGAAAGGTAGGACAAGTCTGACTAGGCACTAGGAAACGTAATTATGATCACATGAGGCAAAGCTGCAAACCTGAAGTCCCCAGATTAAACTAGAAAAGATATTGAAAGATGTTATTACATTTCCTGCTATATTATAGGAATCCAAACTGAAGTAGGGCTTGAATGCTGCAAAAGAAGAGAATTAAATCTTTTCTCCATTTTGGAAAACAGACTGAAATAAAACATCAATCATAAGATGTGTAAGATATAAGATTTTATATAATACATGTATTATAAATACAAGATATCTATTGTTTGTCTAATGTCTCTAAACTTTACTTTTTTTCCAAGAGGAGCAGGAACAGACCATTTATCCTGCATCATATAGCAGAAGACAAAGAATAATTTATATGGGCCAAGAGGTAACTAATCTGCAATAACAGCCACAGATATATATGCAACAACATACTGATGTATATAGCAGAGTATTCATCTGTTTCAGATATTCTGGCTTTATTTCCCACAGTTTCTACTCTTGCCCATACTATAATTATTAATAATAATAATAATAGTAGTAGTAATAATAATAATAATAATAATAATACAAGGAGGAGAAATTGAAAAGTGGCTAACAACTGGGAAAACCTACCTAATAATGAAAAATCCAGCAAAAGGGGCAACACCAGGCAACTACAGGCCAATTACCTGCTTACCAACAACTTTCAAATTACTAACTGGTGTGGTAGCTGATGCAGTACAACAGCATCTAGTTGAAAACAATCTCTTTCCACCTGAGCAGAAAGGAAACCGCCCCAATAGCAGAGGAACAAAAGATCAACTCCTAATAGACAAAATGATCTTGGAAAACTGCAAGAGAAGGAAGACCAACCTGAATGTGGCATGGATTGACTACAAAAAGGCATTTGACTCTCTGCCACATGATTGGATAATCAAGTGCCTAGAAATAACAGGAGTCAGTAGAAACATCAGAAAATTTGTGCAAAGATCGATGGCACAATGGAAGACACAGTTGCAGATCAATGGTGAGAGCTGGGAGAGGTTAATATCAAGAGAGGAATATTTCAAGGAGATTCATTATCACCATTACTATTTGTTATTGCACTGTTTCCTCTGTCAACAATACTGAATAACTCAGGACATGGCTATCAAACATCAGAAACATCTGCCAGACTATCCCACCTCCTTTACATGGATGATCTGAAGCTGTATGGAAAAACATCATCTGAAATAGAATCGCTGCTCAACACTGTCCGTATATATAGCCAAGATATTGTAATGGAGTTTGGCTTGGACAAATGTGCCACACTTACTATCAAACAAGGAAAAATAGTGAAAACTGAAGGAATCAAGATGCCCCACGAAAATAACATTAAGAGTCTGGATGAGGAAGAGTACTACAAATACTTGGGTATCCTTCAAGCTGACAACATCAAGCACACCGAAGTCAAGAAAAAGATTAGAGGTGAATACATCAAGAGAGTGAAGAAAATCTTAAAATCCAAACTCAATGGAGGAAATACCATAAAGGCAATCAACACCTGGGCAATTCCAGTCATTAGGTACACAGCTGGAATACACAGTGGACTGGACTCAAGCAGAACTAAAAGCAATGGATAGGCAGACCAGAAAAATAATGACAATGAATCATGCCCTTCATCCACGCAAGTAGAAGTAGTGTATACCTTTTTTAATGAAAATTATCAGCACTTTTGATCAGTGACATCATCAAAGTAAACAAGCCCACGTGCTGATTACGTCAGCAGGGCACGGCCCTAAAAGGAAGTGACGTGCTCAGCCCCCACCCTCCAGATGTGACGTTTTGGCCTAATCCCATCAAGATTGGCAGTCAATCCTCTGGGTACATGATTAGGTTAACCCTAGACTAATTCTATGGACGTTCAAAACCAAAAAGAGCTAAGTGAATAATTAGCAGAGGCCTGTGTTTTTGGGAAACAAGCCCTACTTTGGGGAGCTGTGAAATAAAAAATAAAAAAGGCTTTTTATTTCTAATCATTCTAGCCTAACGATGCTTTTAATTTTTGTGGAGTTTTAAAAATCAGTGCCTCAAAAGCTGGGGAAAAAGAATCCCCTGAAAGGCAGCCAGAGCCTGCATTTAACCCCTTTTTTCTAAAAGATATTTTTTTCTAAAAGGTATTTATTTCTAGGTGGCTTTAAAAGCATTTCCTCGAACGCAGGGGGAAAAACAAACAAACCCAGCCCCTTTTAAAACCCACAGCTGGTTTTTACCATTGTAAAAAATCTAAAGACACATATTTTGCCATTTGCATCCTGAATAAAATTTATTCTGCCCCCCTCCCCACTATAGCAAAAGACAAGGAATATTAGCAGGAATTAAAATGCTCACAAAAGGCAAGCAGCCAACCAGGCTCACAAGAGGCAAGCAGCAAGCAGCCATGCATGTGTCTGTCTGTCTGCTAGTAAAAAAGGGGGGGTTAGGCCTTGTTTGGGATGTGCCCGGGCATGTCATGCTCCCCGTGATCTGGGCATGCGCAATGCTCAAGGGCGTGTCATTGCAAGGGGCAGGGGAGTTTGCTCCCCGTGATCTAGGCATGCGCAATGCTCAAGGGTGTGTCATTGCAAGGGGGCAGGGGAGTTTGTGCGGGCAGGGACATGCCCGGGCATGTCATGCTCCCCATGATCTGGGCATGCGCAATGCTCAAGGGTGTGACATTGCAAGGGGCAGGGGAGTTTGTGTGGGCAGGCCTGAACAGCTAGCGATTTAATCCCAGCAGTCTTTTGAAGATGGCAGCCTCTGATGGAGATTTGTTTGATGTAAATTTGACCCCCAAACCACCCAAGCATGGGCGCAGAATAAGAAAAGGACCTGAGTTATACAGTTTCATTGAAGAGAACAAACTTATAAAACCTTGTTATAGCAGATTCTGCAAACCATCAAATGGTAAGTAAATATATATATGAGCTGATACAGGCAAAAGAAAAGAAAAGAAAGAAGATTTCTTTCTCCCATATTTGGGCTGACAGGTTGTTCATTCAAGGTAAAAATCTCCTCCCCCTGTCTCTCTCCTGATACAGCTGACAAAGTGAGGAGAGCCTGTGGCTTAGAGGTTATAACAACTGCCTAACATGCAGATAGCCCAGGTTCGAATCTCAGAAAGAGTAAGTTTGGCTGAAGAGAGTTAAAGGAACTCGAAATACCTATACCATTCTCTCTTTATTCTTTGTTGCCTTATTTCCTGCTTTAGAAATGGCGGAGTCTCAAAATGTCAGCATGCCTCAGATTCTGAAAGCGTGTATTATTAAAATATTACACCACTGCTTAATGGGATGTCTACAATCAGATGAAGACCACGTGGATGGTACCAGTGAAACAGAACATATTAAAAGCTTATGCTTTAGACTTTCTATGCCTCATGTTCTCTGGATCATCATCGGTATTTCTGACAAAATGAATAACTTATATTTCACCCAGGGTTCCCTTGATGAGGTCAAGACATTCATACAGCGTGTCGAAAAGAGCCGTAAACCACAGTCATTAATGTCAAAGATTGAATCTGAATTGCCATTGTCTCTGAAGAGGTTCATATGCCAAAATGTAACAGAAATTAATTACAAGAATCTCTTAATGCTATGAAATTTATAATAAAATGGGCTTTACAAATCACATGAAATATGTATTATGTTTTTCTTTTGCTGACCCCTGTTTAACTTTGGCAGATGTTAAACACAATTTAATCAGAACTCAAGGGGGTATTATTCAATTGGGTTTTCCTGATGAGGCGGGGCTGGCCAGATTTGCAAAAGTTGTGAAAAACACACCTCCTCTGATGTGATTAAGTTGTGACATCACCAGCGTATACAAAAGCAGGGTCCATACTGGTCTAGTCACATTTGCTGGTTTCTGGCATATCTGTACCTCCGGAGCCATTTGATCTGCTAAGAAGACCCTTTTCAGAATGGAAGCCACTATTGTAAGTAGTTTTATGGCTAATTTTTGAAACACTTAGATGCAAAATGGAGTTTTAGAATATTCTTGTCTGCTTGCTTGTTTGACTGATTGATTGTTTTATTTCACTAGAATGAATTGACAGACTCAGAATGTTTGAGGGCTTATGAAGGTATTTGTCTTTCATACTTTCACACATTTAGATTCTGGTAAACATTTCTGCAACAAATCTGACCATAGGATTTCTCTTTTCCTTCAGAATGGGAGGATGACCAGCTATTTACTGATGTTGCTATTGCTATAGAGAACCAATTGACAGACTCAGAATGTTTGAGGGCGTATAAAGGTATTTGTCTTTCATATTTTCATAACATTTTAGATTCTGGTAAACATTTCTGCAACAATTCTGAACATTGGGGGGCTTTTTTCCCTTCAGAATGGGAGGATGACCAGCCCTATGTAGACCTTACATTACCCCAGGAGCCCCAAGAGACCCAGCCATGCACAAGCTACACAACACGAATGCTGTTAGGAGGTATAATATCTAGCATTTTATCCAACTACAAAATCATTAGTATTATTTTTTTAGAAACTAAAGGGAGGGGAGCGGTATTACATTATTAGGAATGTTGGTGATAGCCTTTTGTTTGTTTGTTTAACCAGAGCCGGCCTGCAAAAATGCATGGAGGTGGACTTCCCGCATCCCCAGCAGACAGTCATAAATGTGATTCCATGCCAGCATCTTAACCAGAAGGGGAGATATGTCATTCTACGCCACAGCTACAAGCCCCTAACTC